GTTATATGTTTAAACTCAGAGAGTTGAAACATCATGATACTGATGTTATATGTTTAAACTCAGAGAGTTTAAAACATCGTGATACTGATGTTATATTTTTAAACTCAGGGAGTTAAAAAGGACCTAAAGCAGCTCACCTCCTGTTCTCACTGGATAAGAGATCCAGAACCTGTTTTGGATTATCATTATTTTTAATATACAGGTGCAAACATTGTAATTAGTTTTAAGACGATCTCGGTTGTATTGCGAATTGGTGGTAGATTGACTTAGTCAACCGCATTGCTACCTTCTAGTCTAGTCTTAAATAATAATAACGTTTAAACTCTTATCATGTAAACTACAAGGGAACATCCAGAGGTATATCATCAGCATTAGGAAGGTTTGGGCGTAGCCTGGTAATTATCGTGCCGGATTGGGAATCTGAGGCTTTAAGGTTTGTGTCCCGTTCTTCAAAAATCGTGCTTCGCACTTTGGGGGCCTTGTGTCCGTTATAAGAGTGACAGTCAAATCTCACAGTTAGATTAGAGTAGAGGAAGAGATGGCGTTGGGTGCTGTGGACCAGCTGTATTCCCTCTAATCTATAAGAAATTAACTGAGCTGAACAGCTAAACTGACCATAATGACGAAAGCAGTCATTCTAATATTTTTGTTAACTACAAAAAAAATAATTTCTTTGTTGGTTTTATTTTTTATCGCGTTCGTCTATAGTGTACAACTAGTCCTGCCAAGAGGCTTAAATCTTTTTGACTGTAAATTGAATTTATTGTACTCAAGTTGAAAAAAACTCGTTATTTTTTTTACATGCTACGTCATACCTGGTGTACGTCTTGGTTCTGGTTTTGTTATTTCTTTAACGAAACATACATATTTTGGTGAACTAAGATTACCGAAATTATTTTGACAGTTTAGTCGCAATATATATATATATATATCTTTCTTTCTCTGCGTACGTATGTTAAGGGGGTCCCTTCATAAGTCAGCGGTAATTTGAGGACTTACAACGTTATAATCCGAGGTTGGATTCGCCGCGATGGGCAGTGCATAGAGAGCCTATTGCGCAGCTTTGCGCTAAAAATAAAACAAAACGAAATATTTTAAGAGGAAAAGAAAAGGTTCAAAAGGAGAAAATACGGGGCGTTTTGAACATTCTATATTATTTTTATAACTATGAAACACATACTAAATATATAAAAAAAAATATATAATGGTCACACCAGTAAGAGGGCTGAAAGCAGACATTATTGCAGGCTAGCATGATTCCGGCAAATATTACTTGAAATCAAACCCTCACGTAGAATGCTGTACCCATATTGTTCGAGACAGAATAATTGAGACAAATAACACAAATATTTCTTAAGTTCTTCGTATTGTGTTCTTACTTTTACTGAAGTGGCATTTATGTGATTCTTTCCACTTTTTATACACAGAAATTTGCAAAATCTAGTTTGATATTATAAACTGTTTTTACTTGCGACTGAATTACATCACGATGATGAATTAAAACATTTAAATGATAAATCTAAGTAGGCATAGAAACTAATTCACTGTTTTATATATTGATACCGTCGGTACTTGGTGATACGCCCCTCAGTGGAACAGCGGTATGTCTACAGACTTACAACACTAGAAATCGGGTTTCGACACCCGTGGTGGGCAGAGCTCAGATAACCCATTGTGTAGCTTTGTGCTTAACTTCAAACAAACAAACTTGGTGAAACTACATAATTACAGAATTGAGGAAAACAAGACAACTGTACGTTTCACAAATACATCATTTACTACGACTATGGATATGCATGATGATGAAACTACATAATTACAGAATTGAGGTAAACAAGACAACTGTACGTTTCACAAATACGTCATTTACTACGACTATGGATATGCCTGATGATGAAACTTCATAATTACAGAATTGAGGAAAACAAGACAACTGTACGTTTCACAAATACGTCATTTACTACGACTATGGATATGCCTGATGATGAAACTTCATAATTACAGAATTGAGGAAAACAAGACAACTGTACGTTTCACAAATACATCATTTACTACGACTATGGATATACCTGATGATGAAACTTCATAATTACAGAATTGAGGAAAACAAGACAACTGTACATTTCACAAATACATCATTTACTACGACTATGGATATGCCTGATGATGAAACTTCATAATTACAGAATTGAGGAAAAACAAGATAACTGTACGTTTCACAAATACATCATTTACTACGACTATGGATATGCCTGATGATGAAACTTTATAATTACAGAATTGAGGAAATATAAGATGCCTGATGATGCCTTTACTGGCGAAACCATGGTCGTAGTAAGTGATGTATTTGTGAAACGTACAATTGTCTTGTTTTTCCTCAATTCTGTAATTTATTGCTTGTTTGTTGTTAAGCGCAAAGCTACGCAATGGCCTATTTGTACTGCACTCACCGCGGGTATCAAAACCAGAACTAATTCATACTTAAAGAAAATACATTTTAAAATACTATCCAAATTTTACAGTAATTCTTTTTTTTTCAACTACTGCTTGTTTTTGTTTTTTTAAAGAATAAAACCACAATGGGCTATCTGTTACATCCACTGATGGGAATCGAACTCCGGAGTTCAGTGTTGTATTCCCGCAAACTTACCGCTGTCTCTTTGGGGGATACTGCTACTTGTGAATGATTGATAAACATAATAATAACAATAATACACATGATGTTTAATAGTATATCAACATGATGGATAAACATAATAATAACAATAATACACATGCTGTTTAATAGTATATCAACATGATTTATTGAACATAATAATAACAATAATACACATGATGTTTAGTATATCAACATGATTTATTGAATATATAAATCTTACATTATGATTAACATAACGAGATTCTGGCAGGTGCAGTGGTGATGTGGGTTATTTTTTTTATTTCTTATTATCGGTATTGTCTTCAAAACATCATCATCATCATCCGGTGATTCATGTGCAATCGTAAACTATGGTCCAGAACTGGATCAGATTATGTATTCTCACATAGCCATTCGTTGGTCAGTGCAAGAAACAATGGTTAAACGGTAATCTAGGGGGAAAAATTGAATCAGCTAGAAATTTCCAGACTGCTTGAAATTCAAATACGCTTAAATTAAGTTAGATTTTAAAGAACATTTTCAATTGTAAGAAAAAATCGCTTGACGTTAATTATTTTCCATTAAACCCGAGTTTCTTTGGTTGTGAATCTAGTACAAGTAGAATAACTGTCGTATTTTAAATAGGTCTATATTGCACAAAAATATGTTTTTGTGAGTTATAATATTTCAGTGAGTTATAAATGGATACGTTACGTGGAAGTAACATTGTTCAATTGAAGAACCAACAAAAACAATTTCATGATTTAATTTAGACTATTATTTGGAAGTAACATAATTAATGTACAAAATGAAGGCATTTGTATACGTATTAAACAACAAAGATGGATTTGTTATCTGTACGTTACAGTGTGGGTTAAGCAACTCAGACGTAAGCTTTGGGGATTTATAACGCTAAAATTGAAGGTCTGATCCTCACGGCGAACTTAACCCAGGTTCTGCAGCTTTGCGCATAAAACAAAACAAACAACACATTAACAAGAATGTTTGTTTGTTTTTGTTTGTTTTGTTTTTAATTATGCACAAAGCTACACAAGGGCTATCTGTGCTCTGCCCACCACGGGTATCGAAACCCGGTTTCTAGCGTTGTAAGTCCGCAGACATACCGCTGTGCCACTGGGGGGCTAACAAGAATGACGAACGTCACTTTAAACAAGGCTTCGCCAATGTTAGTTTATACCAGCTTTGCTCAAGAGGAGTGGAGGCTGTAAAAACAAGATAAATTAATCTTTTTCACATTCTTCTCTTATCAGGCCAGGTGGATAAGGCGCATGACTCGCAATCTGAGGGTCGCGGGTTCGAATCCCCGTCACACCAAACATGCTCGCCCTTTCAGCCGTGGGAGCGTTATAATGTGACGGTCGATTCCACTATTCGTTGGTAAAAGAGTAGCCCAAGAGATGGCGGTGGATGATGATGAGTAGCTGCCTTCCCTCTGGTCTTACACTGCTAAATTAGGGACGGCTAGCGCAGATAGCCCTCGTGTAGCTTTGCGCGAAATTCAAAGCAAAAGAATCTCTCATCAGAAATTGTAACAGTGCATCACAACAAATGAGATACATAATAAGTTGCGAATAATAGATAACACTATAAGGTTTGTTTCTGTCGTCATAACGTGTTAAAAGATTAGCTCTAAAGATCAAATAACTTCAATACGTACTCCGTATTATTAGTTGAATGCTGTTTCCAGGTATTACAAAGTTTTCAATAGTTAATGCGTCACCGACAATGTCTCTGATGACGCTGGTGTCCGATAACTTCTGTTACAATGAAAATACTTGAACACGAACTACAGATAAGCTATATTGAAAAGTAACTTTGACCAACACTAGATTAATTGCTATCGTTTAACTTAAGATAAATGTGCCACAGGTAGTTTTAGAGATGTAAAAATGTGAATGAACTATTAAAATCATATCATTGAATATTTAAATCACAAGCACTCCATGTGGTAGTATTAATATATTCATAACTTTCATAACTAGTACAGAAAATATAATTAGTTATGTACTTTTATTTTTAATTTTCATGTTAGTGTTCTGCATGTAGTTGTGACATCCTTGTAAACTGGATACGGGAAGGTCGAGATAAAGATTATATGCTACAATCCTTGCTCCATAGCGCATGTGCTTGATTGGCCACATTTTCTAAGTCACACCCTCTTGGAGTGAGGTCATACTCATTCCAAGAACTAGTCAGAGACATGTACAAGATATTATGAGTTGGGGTTTCTATACCATGACTATGCTTACTTGGAATTACTGTTGATTTAGGTAATCTAAGGATTGTGAGATACTGCATTAGAAAAACGATCTAACATGAAAGCGTGGTATTTCATTCTTCTTCTTCCAGTCTTAGTTCTCTGTGGAAGCGTTTTTACAACCTATCTCTAGCTCATCAGCAAGTTGCAATCGTACAGTGCAATACATGCCGCCAGAAAACCGGTTTCTAGCGTTGTAAATCCGCAGATATACCGCTGGGCCACTGGGGGCTTTTCAAGAAATAGACAAGAAAATGTAAAAAAATTTTGGTACAATGATGCCCTACAGAAAGTTACAAATATCCAAAAAACTCAAAGTCCGGATAGTTTATGCTGAGAATTAGAATTAACTCTGACAGAAATAGGAATACAAATACACGAATGAAAAACAAAAAAAAACAAACAAACAGAAATCTTTATATCCAACAGGACAGACGTTTTGACTTATCAGAGATACCTGTAGTGGGCAGAGCACGGATAGCCCATTGTGCAGTTTTGTGCTTAACTACAAACAAACAAAATTTCCTGGAAAAAAAGAAGATATGTATAGTCTAAACGTTTATAGTTTGTTAAAATCCTTTCTAAATTAAACTGAATTAAACCGTCACTGGTGTCTTTACCAAAAATCCTGTTTTGAGTGTATTGTGAGATGTTAACAAGAAACCATTTTTCAGTACTATCTTCGCAAGATTTTAAAGCACAGATAAACTGTTCTGAACCAAGTTTTATGGCTGATTTCTATACATCTGATTTCATCAACTCCATTTTGAAACAGAAAACTGCCCCTTTTTTTTTTTTTTTT